TGGTACAAGCGCGAATGATCAAGTACGACATCATTGGTCTGACCGAGACAAGAAGGCACGAATCTCACCATGCTGTTTTCGACACCGGAGAATTGTTCCTCGGAACATGCGATAAAAGAGGTGTTGGAGGCGTCGGTGTCCTTGTCAACACAAACTTGGCCAAGAGCATTGATTCATTCGAATGCCTAACAACCCGAATCGGACGTTTACATTTGAATAGATGTGGCTCACTGCCTGCAGTTTCTATCTTCGTTGTCTACGCACCAACATCTCATTATGATGAAAGAGAAATCGAGAAGTTCTACATGGAGCTAGAGAAGTTCTATAAAGAAGACCACACCTTCTACAAGATCATTGTGGGTGATTTTAATGCCAAGATAGGACCGAGAAGATCAGCTGAAGAACTTCACATCGGGACCCATGGCCTAGAATGGAACGAACAGGGTGAGAGACTGTCTGAGTTCATCATGTCGACCAAGACCATTCATGGTAACTCACAGTTCCAGAAGGCAGAATCTAAACGATGGACATGGGAGTCTCCCGATGGACGATTCCACAACGAAATAGACCACATCACATTCAATCGACGGTTTTGCCTGACTGATGTCGCTGTTGTCCCAAAATTTCGAACGGGATCGGACCACCGTCTCCTTCGTGCAAAATTCTACTTCACAGAGCGGGGAGAAAGGGCTGCAAAGTTCAAAAAGAGAACTCCCAGAATGACCACCAACTGGGAACTCTTTGGTACTATTGCGGCAACATGGGAAGATGCCATTGTTGACAACATTGACGAGGAATATGATCGACTGGTTCAGCACCTCCATGAATGTGCGAGGAACGCCAAGAGAGAGATAGCCACAAAAAGTCGCCTATCTTCAAAAACTCTTGAGCTAATTCGCCAGCGTGGTTTGGCGCATGCCTCAGGCAACCGCAAGCTAACGTCCGAGCTTGCAAAGCAGTGCAGAGATGCGATCAAGGAAGACCTCAAAGAGAGAAGAGCAGAAGTACTGGTAGATGCGGCAGAAGCCGGGAAAAGTATTCGTAACACCCGCCTGTCCTTCGCCAACTATAAGACCAAGATGACTGCCCTCCGACGTCCTGATGGATCCATCACATCCTCCAGAACGGCAATGGAGAAGATTATCCATGACTTCTACTCAAATCTCTTCGATAGCCATGTCCACTTGCCGACATACCAAATTCCACAGGATGGGTATGTCGTTCCTAACGTTCTCCCTTCCGAAATCCGACATGCCATTTCGTTGGTAAAGAAGCAAACAGCACCCGGCCCAGACAAGGTCAGACCTGAACACCTGAAGAACCTGCCGTCAGTACTCATCAATACACTGGCTCGGCTCTTCACTCGCTACCTGTCTGAATGCAAGGTTCCGTCCCAATGGAAAACCAGCAGGACCGTACTACTGTTCAAGAAGGGAGACATCCATGACATTGGCAACTATCGCCCGATCTGCCTATTGTCTGTCATCTACAAGCTGTTCACTCGAGTCATCCTGAATAGGATTGGCAGAACACTAGATGAAGGACAACCATGCGAGCAAGCAGGGTTCCGCAAAGGATTCAGCACCATCGACCATATCCACACGGTAACCAAGCTCATTGAGGTTTCTCGGGAGTTCAAGATGCCGCTCTGCTTAACGTTCATTGATTTAAAGAAGGCCTTTGATTCTGTTGAGACGGAAGCGGTCATTGAAGCCCTAGCCAATCAGGGCATTCAAGCCCAATACATCAGGATCCTCCGTGAGCTGTATTGCGGATTCACTACCAGGATCTCACCATTCTACAAAGAAGTGATCGTTGATGTCAAGAGAGGGGTGCGGCAGGGTGATACCATTTCACCGAAACTCTTCAGTGCCACCCTCGAGAACATCATGCGACGACTGGAATGGGAAGGAATGGGAGTGAAGATAGATGGTCGGCAACTACACCACCTCCGCTTTGCTGATGACATTGTTTTAATAACACCAAACATCAGCCAAGCGGCACAAATGCTGGCCGACTATGACCGTGAGTGTGGAAAGGTAGGACTACAGCTGAATCTTACGAAGACAATGTTTATGAGAAACAGCCTTGTTCCTGATGCCCCATTCGCTCTCAATGGAACAACCATCTCCGAATGCAACAGCTATGTGTACCTAGGTCGAGAGGTCAACATGAGAAATGACCTGGCACCCGAGCTGCGCAGGAGGAAGAGAGCGGCTTGGAACGCCTTCAAGAACGTCGAAGAAATAGCTAAGAGGACGAAGAACCTCCGGCTCCGGGCACATCTCTTTGATTCCACTGTTCTTCCTGCATTAACATATGCCTCAGAGACCTGGGCCCTACGCAAACAAGATGAGAACGCCATTCAGGTCTCCCAAAGAAGAATAGAAAGAGCTATGCTTGGAATAACACGTTTCACTCAAATGAGAGAACGAATCCGGAGTTCTGACATCCGTCGACGATCAAGGATCAGGGACGCTGTCTCATATGCCAAGGTGTCGAAAATCAGATGGGCTGGTCACGTAATGAGATTTAAAGACGACCGTTGGACTAGAGCTGTTACTGATTGGATTCCACGGGATGTCAAGAGACCGCGTGGCCGCCCACCTACCAGATGGTCAGACTTCTTTGTCAAGATCATGAACAATCGGTTTGAGGCCCTCCATGTTCCCAGAACGAAGAGATGCCATTGGGCTACACTAGCACGCGACAGGGACAAATGGAGACGTTACTGGCGCCCGCTCGAGCAAATCGACGACTAACGGGAAGTTAAGTGATTAAGTGATTAAGTGATGTTTGAAAACCTGGAATGGATTACCGGAGGGAGGGAAGGAGGGAGGGAGGGAGGGAGGGAGGGAGGGAGGGAGGGAGGGAGGGAGGGAGAAGGAAAAGGAATGGAACATCTACTCATCAAGGGCACACTGCATTAATGAAATGATCTACACAATGGAATACACATAGCTGTTAGGGAAAATTTAGTTATAAAATTCACTTATGAATGGATGAACATGCAGAATATGCTGAGTAAAATGAGTCAGAAGAGGGACAGACATAGAATGATTGGACTCATTTATGGGTTATAAAAATTAAACATAGTAAAAAAAATTAAACATAGTATGAGACTAGTACCCAAGGACAGTAGAAACAAGGGCAGGACTATTGGTCCACAGTTGGAAGCCTGCCTCAAGTGCTGGAGAAGAAGGTAGTTGGGACAGAGAAGGGACCACTATGACAAAGATAGCTGGAAATGATCACTCTAAATAAGAACTGTGCCAAAAATATGTAAAGGGACAAATATAATAACCTCTCAGTATCTGTATTGCAAACCATAGTGCCCAAAAGGAGGGGGTAAGGAGGAAAATGCCTGTCATAGAGACAGGACAGGGGATAGGAGGGAAACTGGGGACACTGGTAATGGGAAATGTACACTGGTGAAGGGATGCGTGTTGGGATACTGTATGACTGAAACCTGATCATAAACAGCCTTGTAACTATCCCACGGTGATTCAATTATAAAAATCCCCGAAAACTTAACTCAATTTAAGCTATTTTTAAAAAGTAAATGATGTGAAAGAATAGGGTATGTATGATAAAATTTTGGTATTAAGAAATCCAGAGATTTCTCAATATTAATGTTAACACTGTTAACATTAATAAAGTCTTGAGTTCAAGTTCAGGCACAAATCTACATTCCCAACACCAGTGGAGTGACAAAAGTACAACCAGGCATTGCAAGGCCCAAAACATAAAGGAACAGGCCCACACTGCACAGCTAAGTATCAACACTTATGGCCACTGAGAAAAAGAAATTCTAAAGACTGTGCCTCTGGTTTAAATGTGTTGTCATTCCTGTATCTGGTTTAAAATAATTAAGGTAAAAGGTAAAGGCCCTCCCGTTGATCGTCGATTTGCTCGAGCGGGCCCAGTAGCATCTCCATTGGAGACTTTGTTGTTACTGTGTCTGGCATACCGAATACTCTCGGTAGCTTGCCGGGCTCTCCGAGAGGGGCGGAGGAATCGAACTCAGGTCGGCCATGTTGGCCGCTTGTAAGGCGAACGCCCTACCCGCTGTGCTAAGTTTATAAAAATCTATCAATGGGGTGGGAGTGTTAAAATTTTTGTTTAGTTGGTTTTGGGCCACACCTAGCAAAGGTCAGGAGCTAATCTAGACCAGTGCTCAGATCTGGTCATGCTTGGGGGATCATACATGGTATCTAATATTTGAACTCACAGGATACAAAGTGAACATCTTAACTCATGAACTAGCTCTGATCCAGAATCTCAACTTTTGTCTTGAGATTTTATATTTGATAAAATTTCATAAAAATATAATGCTTAATTATATTCTGAATATGCTCCAAATTATAAGGCAATAGAAATTAAAATCATATGAAGGCCAGAGAGAGAGTATAGTAGGGTAAGATGTTTTTCCTGCCTGCAGCAGACCCAGGCTCATAGCATACAGTCCCCAGATATATGGCCCCCAAGCATCGCCAGGAGTAATTCCTGAGAGCAGAGCCAGACTAACCTGAACACCACTATTGTGGCCCAAAAATAAGACAACAGAAAGATAGAACCTTGTAGGAGAATTATGAACAAGGAGAAGAGATATAGTACAGTAAGTAGGATTCTTGCCTTGCATGTGTTTGACACAAGGGTATGCTCTCTAGCACCCCATATGGTTCCCCATTCCCTGTCCAGAGTGAGCCCTGAGCAATGCTGGGCTTTTAAATTTTCTTTTAAAACCTACATTTCTGGGAGTTAGATAGATAATAATACAGAGGTTAAGACCATTGTTTTGCATGCACTGCAACTCCCAAGGATTACCAGGAATGGCCCTAATTTTAAAATTGTGAATGAGTCTTTCTAAGGTAAGCAGGAACTCCTGAATCTTTCCAAACTGCATGCAAATAGGTCGTTGCTGTTAAAATGTCTATACCAAGACATTAGTGGGTGCTATACAATCTTTAATTTTAAAATCCTTACAATTGGAATCATACCTATTCTCAGGATCGTTGTCATCATCATCATCATCCACCGTGACAGTCACTGATTTAGATAACGTTTCATCTCCTTGAGAGGAAAAAGTATACTTAAAATTAGCTTTAAATTATCTGTAAGTAAAAGTACATAAAATAAGACTAAAAACCAAAAACTTTAGAACTACCAGATTCTAAACTGTACCTTGAGATTCAAAATAAGAGTAATAAGAAATTATAAGGGGAAAAGAAACAAAACAATTCTAATAAATACCAACTGTAAAATGATAAAATAGTTGAATCTTAGATATTTTCAAGTTCTTTCCAAATCATAAAAGCTTAAAGATTGTCCTACCCAATTTACAAGTCATTGTCACATTAGCATATGTTTTTTACTGAAATAGTTTTGTAGTGATTCAGTATATGTTTAAAGGAAGCAGGTATATGATTTTTTCTCTATTATAAACAGAAAAGCAATTACTACTTGGTAGTACCAAGTAATTTCTAAACAGATTTGAATTTGTATGATATCCCTGATATTCAAGTAGAGCAATGCTTCTTAAACTTTTACCATTCATGATTCATTGTTTCCGATGAAATTTTTAAACACCAGAATATACAAAATAGATATTTAAATATTTATTGAAATATTTTTTTTAAAGTTTTGATAACTCCCACCTTTAGTTAAGTAATTTCACATGGGTGATTAATGTTATTAATAAGTTGTAACTGCGACGTTAAGCAAAACAACATTTAACAAAATAGGTCTTCAAACAAAGTTTTGTTTATTTTTTAGTAAGTCAAGGCAGTTTTACTGAAAGAATTTTATTTAGAGAAATGTGAGGCAAGAGAAAGATGTATTCAGGAGAGAACATAGGGTTCACCATAGCAGAAAAGAACCTAAAACTTTGTTTTATGTAATGTATGCTGGGATTGTAGTTTTCTTATCTTATAATGAATGAGTGAAATGAGATTATGCTAAGACCAATAAAAATTTAAGTACAATAAAAATTTTCTTTTAAAAGCTACATTCTAGGAGCTATAGAAATAACACAGAGATTAAGGCAATTAACCTAATTGTTCGCCCTAATCCTCTCCCCTAAAGGATTTTGCACACAGGGGGTTAAGACAACTGTTTTGCATACACTCCAACTCCCAAGCACTACCAGGCATGTCCTTAATCCTCTCCCCCAAATCAAAGCTACATTTCTTGAGCAGGGATACAGCTCAATTGTGCAAATCATTATTTATATGTATGAAGGACCTGGGTTCAATCCCTAGCATCAAAACTGAATAAAAATGAAACTACAACTCAATATTTGGATTCAAAATCTAAAGAGATCAAGGGGAGAAGAGCTAGTACAGTAGGTAGAGTGCTTGCCTTGCACAGGGCTGACCCAGGTTCAATCCCAGGCATTCTATATGGTCCCCAGAGCACCAAGAGGAATGATTCTTGAGTGCAGAGCCACAAGAAACCCCTGAGCATTGTTGGGTGTAGCTCCGAAAGTTAAAAAAAAATATTGTGCATTTCAAGGCTGTGGAAAAAACCCTCAATAGGCTGGAGTGTATGTTCTCAACAAGCCCTGGGCGTTCGGATTCAATCCCCAAGTAGAATCATTAATGGCCCAAAAACAGAATTATTTTTAAAATTTGTGCAATTAACCGCATGGAGAATGCCACACAAAAACAAAGTTAAATATTGAATAGTAATACTATAAGATGCTGACATATTGACGGAGAATACACTGGTGTTTATACTTTACTTTGAAATGCATCAAATATGTCAAAGGCATTACACTGAGTGTGGGGGAAAGCCGGTATCAAAAAGCTGTGCACTCCATGATTACATCTCAAGGTAATAAAATATAGAGATGAAAGACAAATTAACAGCTGTCACAGATTAAGAATGGGAATAAGGGGCTGGAGAGAAAGTAGAGCAGGTAGGGCATTTGACCTTGAATGTGGCTGACCAAAATTCAATCCCTGACATCCCATAGGTCCTCCATGCCCTGCTATTAGTGATCCCTCAGTGCAGAGTCAGCAGTAAGCCCTGAGCACAGTCGGGTATGCTGCCCCACCCCCCCAAAAAAAAACACAGCAAAGGTTAAGGCATACACCTAGCTTTGCTAGGATGCAGCTAGCTGTGACTGTGATCCTGGTCCTAATCCCAGCACTGCCAGACATGGCCCCTGAACACAAAGCTAGAAGTGGCTACTGAGCACCATGTGATAGATAACATTACACAGAACTGTATTTACTTATAAACACACGTACATACAAATGAATGTGAGTATGAGCAAAACTGGTGAAATCTGAAGAAATCTTTGAATTTGCAGATTTGACAAAGTACTACAGATGTCACTGAAAAAAACTGAACGAAACTGAAAAAAACTTAAAAAAATTCATGTATATTTTTCTTAAGTTCTGTGAATCTGTATTTCAAAGCAAACAGTCAAAAGGGGTTAGGCACATTATTGAATATAGAAAGTACATTATTGAATATAGAAGGATATATATAATCAGGAAGATAATAAAAGATATACAATGTTAATGGTAAAAACTTTCTGTATATTTTTGTCATAATAAATACTGGGGGGACATATCACAGGAAAAAGTCCATAAAGAACAGACACTTACAGGTTCAGAACAGAAATATTCCAAGTTTAGAAAAAATAATAATTTTTACAATATTCCAGTAAAGACAGTTGGCCTTTCAACAATGTGGGGTTTTAGGGATGACAACCTCTCCACATAAATTAGTATTTGCAATCAAGCATAATGATTTCACTAGGAAAGCTGGTTTCCAAAATGTGAATAAGAATATTCAATATAACTAATTCTAATTTATAATTCTTATGCTCTAATGTGAAATATAATTTTCTTAACTAAAACACTGATTTGATATTAAAGTTAACTATTAGATTCTGAGATTTGAATACAAGCTCAGAATTCTGAAAACCCAGAAACTAAAATTTTGTGATGCAATGCCAAATTTTATTTGGTAGCAAAAGCTGATCTGAACCATTTATTCTTGTAAGTATGAATGTTTATATGCTTTGCTGTGAAATTACTAATGTGTTTGATTATGAGGAATTACCTTTTTGGGGCTATTATGTAATATACAGTAACTATATATTACAAAAAAGCCATAAAGGTCAACTTTTGAAACACATTAGATCCAAGAATTTAAGACAAGGAACTGCAGATTTATAGTTAGTTACATACAATAGCCACAACATTCATCTACCAACTATTACAGCAGAGGATAAAAATGAGTAACTCAGGCATATACAGTTGGGTTTCAAATCAACTCATGAGATGTGTACTTCACAAAAGGATTTAAATTTTTATTTTAAACCAAGTTTCAAGTTAAATTCCACTAGAAAACTAAACTGAAATAAAGGAAACGTTCTAAACAATGAAAAAAAAAATTTAACATTCTTCCTCATTTCTCCTGTGCTGAAACACCAATTACATAAGAAATCTAGTTTCTAAAAGTTTTTATATAAAATCAAGTGTCACTGGCTAACTCACAGATCTAACTGGCTTATGAAATAATAACACAAGACTGGAGAGATAACTCAATAGGCTGAGTGCATGCTTTCCATATGGGAAGTCTGAGTTCAATCCCAAATCCCTGGCACACAATGCATGGATCCCCAAGTAATGCAAGGAGCAACCCCCAAGCATCAAGCCAAGAGTAACCTACAGGAGTGTCCAAGAGTAAGCAAACAAAAACATAATACAGGGCTGGGAAGATGGTGTGACAAGATGGTGACACAAGATAGCCCCACTATCACTATTAGGAATGGTCCTAGTGGGCCGCAGCACTGTTGGAGCCATGGTACACTGTATCACCAGTCCAAAGTACTGAACCATTCAGTGTTCCACAGCTGGGTCAAGTTTCCAAGTATTATCAAGAGTCACCCAGGAGGGAAGTGGGGACACGGTAATACACAGGTAGGGCATTTGCCTTCCACATGACCAACTCAGGCTCAATCCCCAGCATCCCATATGGTCTCACTGCCACCTTGAGCATTGCTGTGCATGACCCCCAAAAATATATATATACTTTTATATACATATGTGTGTATGTGTATATATATGTGTGTGTGTGTGTGTGTGTGTGTATATATTAGCCCTGAGGATACATATATATATATAAAGTAGCCCTGAGGATACTGATCACCACTGGACAGGAGACCCACCAAAAGCATAATAAAAGTACAAAGTACTTATAATACAACTGGATTTTTAAAACTATAATAATGACAATATTTATGCTTTTGTATTAATCACCAGTTGTCCTAGTGCTGACTCATCATGGCAGGATAATCCACCAATTTTGGTTTTTTGTTGCAGCTTTTGAGGTGTGACTCAGTGATGCTGAGGGCATACTCCTGGCACTACACTCAGTTTATACTACTGGCAATGCTCAGGAGACCACATAGGGTGTCAGGGATAAAATTCAGGTCAGCCACATGAAAGTCAAGTTCCCTATGTACTATATTATCTCTCTGGCGCCTAACCCACCAATTTTTAATTTTTTTTTGTTGAATCACCCTGAGATACAGTTATAAAGTTTTCATGTTTGAGTTTCAGTCATAAAATGATTAAACACCCCATCCCTCCACCAGTGCACATTTTCCACCACCAATGTCCCCAGTATCTCCCCATCCCAAAACTCACCTTTTTTTTTTTTTTTGCTTTTTGGTTCACACCCGGCGATACTCAGGGGTTACTCCTGGCTCATGTACTCAGGAACTACTCCTGGCGGTGCTCAGGGGACCATATGGGATGCTGGGAATCGAACCTGGGTCGGCCATGTTGGCTGTGTGCAAGGAAAACACCCTACCCACTGTGCTATCGCTCCAGCCCCATCACCAATTTTTAAGACATAGTTGTTAATGTATTTTATTGGTTTTAAAGAAAGAACCATCTGTTTGTGCCATCAGAAAAAAGGTGATGAGCATCAGCAAAGGTCTTCAATAGAGTAAATTTAAATTTTTAGAAAATTTGAGGATTTCCAGTCAAGATGGGAGCAGCACGGCAGCAAGTGGCAAAGCAGGCGGAGGGATGGCAGCTCTCAATGCTCTGAATAGCCAATGGGGGTCACAGAATTTCTACATGACTGAATGTGGGTGTCCCTTCAATATTCTGTCTCAGGGAGAGAGTCATTAAAAAAACCGGCCAAATATGATGGCCTCTCAGTATCTATATTGTGAACCATTGTGCCCAAAAGTAGAGAGTAGAGAGAAAGAAGAAAAGTGCCTGCCATAGAGGCATGTGGGGATGAGGGGAGGAGTGGGAGAGATACTGGGGGGACATGGTGATGTGAAATGTACACTGGTGAAGCCATGGGTGTTGGAACATCACATGACCAAAACCCGATCATGAAAGTTTTCAATAAAGGGCAGATCATTTGCCTTGTGCGCAGCCGGCCGGCCAAGACGGGTTCGATTCCTCTGCCCCTCTCAGAAAGCCTGGCATGCTACTGAGACTATCTCGCCTGCACAGCAAAGCCTGGCAAGCTACCTGTGACACACTCAATATGCCAAACACAGTAACAACAAGTCTCACGATAAAGACACTACTGGGCCCGCTCAAGCAAATCGATGAACAACGGGAGGACAGTGACAGTGACAATTCAATAAAAATTTTTATTTAAAAAAATTAAAAATAAAAATGGCCAGTCATACAACACTGAGCAACAAACAGTCCAGAGTGGGACTTGTGAGGATGGCAGAGGTGGAGCTACTGCAGCTCCTGGTACTATGGGCAGTGGCAGAGTTTTAACATAAGGCTGCACAGGGCTCTTTGTGTCCAACCCAGTACCACCATGAAGTGTGGATGCCAGAGTTGAGGGGGCACACAAGGTTTCCACTATGAGGCCCTGGAGATTTACCAGTCCATGCCACCAGCATATTATTATGGGGGAAAACATCACTGAGTGCCAACTGTTTGGAGGCTCAGGGTGGGGGAGTATACTCCACTGGTCAGGCTCTGCTGGACTAGTGGCTACATCCCACCCAGACTGCCCAGGCCGCGGATGGTAGCAGTGTTGCTCCTGCCCTGGTCCCTACCAGTGCCACTGCTCCCACTGCCACTGCCACTGAGTATCAGAGGGTGCCAGCAGGCCAACCTGGACCTGGACCAAGGGCGACTGCATCAGCAGCCTGGTGGTGTCTTCAGGCTTCCTGATACCCCCAAATTGCTGCTGTGCCTCTGGCCAGACTCTAACAATTCAGTATCAGGATTTCTGAGAAATAAAATAGCCAAATGTTAGGTATGTGGGACCACGCCCACAAACCACCTGCTGCTTAGCTATACAAGCTCATTTATGGGCCTTGCTTTAGAGTCATAAATAAATCTCAAAAGAGATCAAAAGCCACAGTTAATTTTAGATTCTTATAAGGCTGAACAGATCAGGGTAGATTGGAGGAGGGCAAGTGAGCCCACTGCCAGCCCAAACAGAGCCCCTGGCAGCTGCTTGTTCCGACAATCCAAAATCACTGGTGTACCCCCAGCTGGATTCCACCATCTTGAGATGGACCTGAGATATTTGTCTATTCAGTGTTTACAATACTTTTCTTGTGACTGAAATCTCGAAGCTTTCTCAGGAGTTGAAATGGGATACCTCCCTCCACTTCCCTATACTGCTGGAAGCACCAGCAGTCACCCCTACGAACCAACTCCAGCACCATCGTGTAAACTCTTCTATTGGCCTCACTTCAGAGACCCATAAACAAATCTCGAAAGAGATCAAAAGTCACAATTAATCTTCGACCCACGCAAGGCTGAAAGGACTGGGTAGGTTGAAGGGGGGTGATTTAGCCGGTGCTGCCCAAACAGAGCCCCCCAAAGCTGCTTGCTCCCACAATTCAAAATACTGCCACGCCCCCAGCCAAACTCTACCATCTCAGGACAGGACTCACCAAGATTTTCTGCTGAACTCACCAAGATTTTCTGCTGAAAATTCAGGTATGCGAGTTTTGTGACAAACCTCCAAGCTTTCTCGGAATTGGGATGGGCTATTCCTACCCACAACTCCCTATACACCCAGAAGCCCTGGTAGTTGCATCCATACCCAAAAGCCACAACCCAGTGAAGAAAAGCCACTTCAGCTGTACCTTCCTGACAAAAATACTGAATGCCCTGAACAAACACATATCTGTAGAGGTACCTGTTATTACCTGTACTGCAAACCATAATGCACAAAAGGAGAAAGAGAAAAAAGGTGCCTGCTATGGAGGCAGACGGAGGGTAGCATAAGAAAGGAGGTGATGTGAGGAATCGTGTGGACATTGGTGGTGGGAAATGTACACTGGTTTACACTTTACCAGTGTGCAATGTAAAGAGATGGGTGACAGAATATTGTATAACTGAAACCCAATAATGAAAAGCTTTGTGATGGTCTATTTCACGGTGATTCAATTTTTCAAAAATTAGAAAATTTAATCGAATGCATAGCTGAATTAATTTTTAAAGTTATATGCAAAAAATGTCATATGCATGGCAAAGTAATTAGAACAAACAACACACTGTACCAGCAGCAAGCATTCAGCTCCATGCATGAATTACGTACTAAACTAGGTGGCATCAGTCAATTTTCCTTCACAAACAACTGTTCCTTTTTTATCTAATGAACTTGGATTGGCTGATATAGATAACTTGCGATGTTTGAAATAACTCTCAATGATAGCAAAATAAGAAAGACTTTCTAGTTGATTTGTTTTTTTAATTTTTTTTGGTTTGGTTTTCAGTGTTTTTTCTTTTTAAAAATTGTAAGCGTCTGATCCTAAACAGTAGTCCTGTATTGGACTGGCCTCAGGAACAGTGTAGTTATTAAAGAGGGAAAGAACACAAATTATACATTTTTATTTGTACATACCTGAAGACTGGCAAAATCCAGTATGTGCAGTCAGCACTAAATTTTCAGTCACGGGCTTAATTTTCTGTTCATCACTGCTTCCCTCACCTGCAGAATTCTGATCATCATCTCCTATATCAGAAGATGATGAAGTAATGTCAGCTTGTTTCCGTTTAGTGCTTGTTCTTAGTGAGTTTCTCATTTTCTCCTTAACTCCACTTCCCTTCTTTTTCGCTCCACTTCTTTGTTTCTTCAACTTTTTATTATCTTCAGAGCTTTCTTCTGCATCAGATGATGATGAACCACTTTGCACTCTCTTGGTATTTCTCTTTAAATTTAAATTTCTTCTTTCCCTTAATTCAATTCTTTTCGTTCTCTTATCAGAAGAATTACAACCCTCCTCTTTTACAGAATATCTCTCAGTATCAGATGATGAACAATCTTGTCTCTTCTTTGAACGCTTTTCAGACAAGTTGCTTCTTTTCTTCTCTCTACCAGATGCTGCATTTTTACTTCTTTTATCTTCAGAAGAATCACAACTATCTCGCTTCCCTGGTAACTTCTCAGCATTATCAGATAATTCATCCTTCTTTTTAGAAGATTTAACTTTGCCTTTTTTACTTTTCTTTTCTACAGTTGAGTTCTTATTTTTCATGCCCACTGAAAAGTTAGATATTTCTTCTCCCTCAGGTAATTTCTCCATGCCATCAGATGATGATTCATAGTGTTGTTCCACTTTAACTACTTTTTTCAAGTCTATAGTTTTCGTTTCTTTTTCTTCAGCTCCCTTTTTGCTCTGCTTTTTGTCATCATCAGAGGACTCATCATTCTGTCGTTTCTCTGCGAATTTCTCAGCAACATCAGATAAGCCACCTTGCATTTCCTTACACATTTTGGTTTTCAGATGCTTACTCTTCTCTTTACCTCCATCAACCTTTTTGTCATCTGGAGAATTAAAATGGTCCTCTTTCCCAGAAGAAAGTTTATCAGAACCATCAGAGGAAACACCTGGTTGCTGCTTCTTGGAGAGTGGATCACTTAATTCTATGATTTTGTCTTTATCAACTGTGCCTTCGGTAGAAGAGACATTTTTGCTCTCTTGTTTCATTTCACCTTCATCAGATGACTCCTCTTGTACAGTTTTCACACTTTTCTGCCCCTGTTCATCCAATACCTTTTTGCTACTCTTCTCATCTTCGGAAGAATCATGATTTTGTTTATTCGAAACTCTTTTTCTAGTTGTTTTGGTAGTCCCAATTTTGCTCATGCTCTTTATCTCTTTTTCTAATTCTGAATCATAATTAGAAGATTCAGATTGGTTCTGACGTTTCTTTTTGGAAATTATAGACCTTTTAGCTGATTTGCCCTTTTTAATATCAAATTCTGAGCCAGAAGTAGAACTTTTTCGTTTCCTTTTCCCTTTCTCAGCTTCCCTTGGAGTTTTTAAATCATATAAAGTGCTCTCATTATTTGTATGGGTATCATTAATATCAGTATCTGAAGAAGAGCCACGTCTCATCCTAGTTACCTCTTTGAGGATAGATAGCATTTCATCAGAATCTGAATTCTGATCTACACTCACTGACTGTTTAGATTTAGGTGATTTATTCGGTTTAGGATTATTCATAGCACTACCAGAAGAATTACGCTTATCCTTTTTTCTATCTGGAATGGATAGTTTTTGTTTTTCATTACTTTCTTCATCTGAATTAGATGTTGCAGGGTTGGTTTCTGTCTGTCGCCTTAATGGTGTAGTCTTTACACGTGGGGATCTTCGAAGGTCAGAGTCTTCTGAAAGTAATGGAGCTTCACTTTCAACTAAACGCTCATTACCATCATTTTCCTGTTCCAGTCCACAGTTCTCTGGCTTGGGGTTCAGATTAGAACTTTTATAGCCATCTTTATCTTGTGGAGCCTCCTGACAATCAGTACCCTTAACTGGAGAATTAGAAAGAGAAACAGGGGTGAGTTTGACATATAATTCTTTTGTTACTTTAGCTGTAGTTTTTGACTTAATACATCCTCTGTTGTCTTTTGAAGTAACATTTAATTTTACAGAAGAACTCTCCAGTTCTTGCTCAGTTCCACTGTTTCCATCTCCCTGATAATTAGCTGAGCTCTGAACTTCCATAGCAGTCTCAAGATTCTCAAAAATGTCTTCTGGAACTGAGGAAGGAACTGACACAATATCCATGTCTAAGTCTTCAGAAGTGTTAGCAGGTTCATACTGAGGTTCATTTTTATCAGTTTTCTTATTTTCACTATTTGTGCTTTTATTTTCTCTTTGTTCCTTCACTGGAACATTCTGATCCATCTGTTCACTATCTACCTGCTTTCTTAGCAATTTAGCTTCTGACTTTGAAATATCCTTCCTCTCCATAACCAAGGGTTTTTCTCCTTTACGTACTTTTGCTTCACACTTAGCATACACGATTTTATGCTCTTTGGTATTTTTCTCTTTGTTTATAACATCCAAAGCTTGAATTTCTGAATTTAAATCTTCTTCTAGTGCAAGATGAGCTTTCTTAATATCAGCTAACACAGATTTAAAAGCCTTAAACTGACGTAATTTTGTAGCAGAATTGATTTCTGAATGATCTGTTGCCTGCCTCAAAAACTTAACATAACTGGAATTCATGTTTGCTGTTGTCTCAATCAGCTTTTTAGCTTTCTTAATCATCTCTTTGGGCACAATTAGTGCTGAGTAAGAGTAAGTTACCGAACCAGAACATGAATCATCTAATTTCTTTTCTTCCCCATTACAATTTGAATTATTTTTCTTTGGAGAAAATCTGGATGTATGGTCATACACTTTATTACTCTTTTCATTATCAATTTTTATCTTCTTCTTATTTTGTTGCAACAACTGCTCTAAATTTTCAAATACGCTGTTACAAGCAGTGACCAAGTCCAACAAAGGCTCAGGGTGACAGATGTAGCAATACCATTGGCTGTTTTCATCCATTATTGTAGACAGCTCCTTTCGACCAAGGTTGCGCAGAATGCATTTCTTGCAGAAAGCATTATGGCAAAAATCACAACAGATCAAGTTTCCGCCTTCTGCACACCACCTGAAATCAGTTAAAGATTAAAATATTATTACAAAATGAATCCTACATTACTTTCAGTATTAAAGAAAAATTATCCTGCCAGCAATTTTATTAGTAATTTGTATCATATCCTGTTCTTCTGTGATTAAAACAACCTTCAATTAATATTAGTGATGATACTACAAAATACGAGAACTGTAACAGGCTACATAAGAAATAGCCCCCGCCCCAGTCCATCTTGACTTATTACCTACCTACATTGTTCATCCATTCCATCTGAGTCACGGCTAATATCATCACTCATGTAATATTTAAAGCAATTCTATTAAGAGAAAAGGGAAGTGACAACTTTAATGCAAAATTGAGATTATTCATAAAGAAAACTACTAAGTCATTAAAATTCTTTAAATCCTCAAAAAATGTGTGTGTTTGTGTATCAATGCAAATATACAACCCCAGTGGTTTTCAATCTTTTTATACCTGAAAACCAGTAATGATTAAACATTAACTACTGAATCACTACATAAAACTTAATGTTGCAAATACTTACCATATTTAATCATCACATATAAATTGTCACTATGTAGATAACCAGACAACTTTATCCTATGTTAACCTATATTATCTTTAAATCTCAAAATACCTATTACCAAGGTTAAAAATAAGCCAAATTTGAAAAGACTAATGAGCTAATAATTATGTAAATAAATCTCCCAACTTATGCAATAAGAGGCAAAGCTCATGTTCAAAATCCAAGTCTGAGCAAATAAATTCCTTATCACTGGGCTAGAAGATTTCATGCTTATTGAAGAAAATTACTGACTACTGAAATAGGGCAAAATCAATAGATGATCCTCTAGAGAGAAAATATATAAGGATGCATGTTTTATAATGTACATTCCCAAAACAAAGGGAATACACATTAGAAGCTCAGCAATATGAAATTTAGCGATCACCATTTAAAACTAGAAGGTGTAACGTGTAGCCTAGATAGGCTGATCTATTAGACAAAAGGAGGAACACAACTTTCTTTTGATTTTTGGGCCACAACTAACAATGCTTAGGGGTTACTCCTGGTTCTAAACTCAGGAATCATTCTTGGCGGCTCTGCAAAGACCATATGGGTTGCAGTGGACTGAACCTGAATCAGCCATGTGCAAGGCAAGCATCCTAACCTCTGTACTATCTCTTTATCCTCAGGACACAAATTTCAAAAGGACAGAAAGTATTGCAGCTAACGCATTTGTGCTGAATCAATTCAACTGCACCAGGCTAATTCGCATCTAGATTTCAGATACCTGTTTACATCATCTCCATTATAAAGATCCTCTGCTCAACACCAAGTATTTTGCCTTCATGCTCCCACTCTACACACTATCTATCATGGCACATACTGGCTTTTATATATGTCTCTCTTCTCCAGTACAACAATATAATTCCTCTTTGGGCAGAGACCATTTCTGTATATTTCATCACTGTGCACCCGAAAAAGTCTGACACATGGCATTCAAATTTTTGTGCAGTGAATTATCAACAGATCGTTACTTACCTTACAAATAAGTACTTGCAGAGAAGGATGTCTATAAATGGAATCTTTTTGAAAATGATTGACCTGCTGTCCACAAGCTGTGCAGCTCACAATCCCATGAAGCCCATCTTCTAGGAGAAAGATGTGACCATTATTCACACATACACACTCAAAATATATTTGTTTCAGTTAGCCCTTTTCAACTGTCATATTGCTAATATTTCAAAAATCCTTGGGAAAATGATATTTTGTACACAAGTAAAAATACTAATAATTTAATGGATTTAAAACATAACAACCATGGCAAATTACAGAACAACAAATCCTAACCTGTTTAATAGTTTCAAATGCTATTTCTAATAACCTGATATAACTTGAATAGTCTTTATTAAAGTCGTTCTAAAAATAGGGTTCAAAAGTTCATTTTCATTTTGTTATTGCTTGGCAAATAAATTCTCTATTGATTCTCTTAAAGAATGCAGGGCAAGTGGGATACATGAAAAAAGATTTCTTTTGTAACTCTATACAGAACACTAGTGTGTCATACAATTTTATTCTCAGGAAGGAATTGTCTGCACAGATATTTTCAATTTAGTATGTAAAAACCTATTTCCTTCTTAAGATTTACTTCTATCAGGCCAGAGCAATAGTATAGTGGGTAGGAGTTTGCCTTGCATGCGGCTGACCTGCGTTCAATCCCGGAATCCCATATGGTCCCCTGAGCACTACCATGAGTGATTCCTGAGTGCAGAGCCAGGAGTAACACCTGAGCATTGCCGGGTGCGACCCAAAAAAGCCAAAAATAAAAGATTTACTTTTATCCTATCCAAACTCCACATTAACCTGACTTCTCTTAGGTTTATGCCACTCTCCACTCTATATTAATACCATTTGCTCATTCCAAATAAAAACAAATGAGACTTGAAGGAACATCTACTTGGAATCATTCTGCAGTGTCTGTAGGGAAATAAATGAAAAATAACCTATGCAAAAAAAAAGACATAGGAAAATCTCTCCTGTTCTGTTTAAGGTAATGCCAAGATGAAAATTAAAATCATCTGAAGAATCTTTAAAAATAAGAGACAGTCATTGCTACCCTTAAACCAATTAATGGAAATCACCGAGATATGTTTCTAAGCTTGAGAACAGATGATTCTGATGTGCAGTCAAGAACTTAATCCAAATAACAGATTACGATTCAAAAATTCAGCAATGGAAAGAACCCTCCAATTTTATCTCTAAATAAAAACCAAGACAGCACATATATTTCTCACCTTTTAAATTTCTATTTTGTGTTTTTCTCAACTTTAAGGTCCAAAGCAACTTGGACCCGAACTTGGTGACAGATTTTTAGAATTGAAAAAAACATACCTTTCCTGAAAATATAGTATAATTAATATTTACTATAAACACTTATGGTTTATTTTAAATCATACTGTCCTACATTAGAGCTCAATTTGGAATATTTATATATTCTGCATTTGTTTTCAAAGATACACAATGTACCTCTTCACAAATACACAATGTACCTCTTGGTTTCAAATGACTGCATTCAGAAAAACTAACAATAAATAAAAACTACAGTTTGACTATCTAATCTTAGATAATATTTATTAAGCATTCTATGTACTATTGCATACATATCACTCAAGAAAGAAAACTACATGATTCTTTGGAGAATTTCTACCCCCTGTGCACAAAAATTGCATCAAGGATATTCACTGCATCATACATTTGAAAAACTAGAAAACAAATTGGTAGTAACTTTACATTTGGGAAATAGTGGTTTTTTCATACAAAAAAATCTGTACATTAACAAAAAGTAAAAATTAGATACACATTAACTGACATGGACACATTTCAAAACAAATTTGAATAAAAAATGTTGCAAACAGATATAATTTATATATTTAAAGAAAAAAACAAATGCATTCTAATTTACGTATAAAAACATGCATGAAAACCACACATATATACATGCACACAAACTTTAGGAAAATCATTACCTGGGGGATAGAAGGAAGGGGGATGGATGAGAATAAGACTAAACTTATTTTATTTGAGATCTGAAGCAAATATTATAAAATGCTACAATCACACTTCAAGTAATTCTTTATATGTATGTTTTAGTCTTTTATTTTTAGTTATGAAATATTCTGTACTGCATAGAAATATGAAAGAGGCATGTTCATTTCTGAGCTTAATACATTTCAAAAGTTTAAAAGTGAGAACAAAATTATTATGCCATATAAAAATAGATGTAAAATTTATTTTCTAATAAACGAGGAAAGGATGCCACAACAGTCATGACATTTAAAAAACAGTGTGTCCCAAAATGGTCAAAATGATTTTTTTGTGTTTGAATACTGTTTCAAGTATATACAATGTTTTAGTTTCCCTTCTTGACATTTTCTAAATTTGGCCTCAATTTTAAAACTTTCCTAGGATGTTTGAATATTAAGTCAATTTAGTGCTTCAGATCACTAGTTTATTCAATACATGTATATGTAACCAGACATTGTTCGATTTATTATGTTATTTCTGACAGCTTAAAGATGTAGCAAACTGTAAAGACAAGAATTAATATGAGGGCCAGGGAGATAGCTGAAAAGGCTGGAGTGCATGCTTTGCATGCAGGAGTCCCGGGTTCAATACCCAGCATCACATGATTCCCTGAGCACTGCCAGGTGTGGCCCAAAAAACCAAAACAAAAAATTAGTATGAAATATTTAAATGCCACAATAAAGTTATAAATATACATAGTAAGATATAAACATTCTTAGAACACACAATAGGATGTTCCTAAAATCTACTAGCTCAGAGCAAATAGCAGAAGTATACCAAAGTGGCATTAAGAACACTCTTCCCAACAACTATAGTACTTTTTACATGCCCTTCCAATCCTTGTCCATTTTTCAAATGTTGACTACTCCAGATTACCTCCCCAAAATACAGCATCTATGTAAAATACTTTAGTTATTTGTATATCTAGAGGACACATGATCATTAGAAAGAAGTTCTAACTCCTTATTTCTACAATCACCACCTGCTTACTTATTCTCTTAACTTTTAAAAATACTACTTAGCAATGGTGTGTTCTGTTCCCAGATTGGCAGTTTCCCAATAATCAACTAGAGTCTCAGGAAGTCTTTCTTATGCTTGAAAGGGAAAGAACATCTTGTGGACATAAGACTAAACAACATTTTCTTGATTTTCTCCAACAACCTAGAAAGTTATTTAATCTGAATAACATATATATATATAAAATGTTCTATAAGTACAGATGTAATGTGCTAATTCTACCAAGATAACAGTATACCACTGAAATCAAAATGTACTAAAAATTACCAACATAAGAACTGTGTTATAATTTCACAACACTTTAAACAGAGGCATCCATTATATTTCTACTTAGAAATTTAGAAGCAGATTCTATCTTTCAGAGATTCATTCTTTTTATAACTGAGATTCTTGTTCTGCTAATCTGCCAAAATACATAAACATAGGTGCTATTTAATCACACGCAAACATATACCCCATTGTCAGAAATTTCAAAATGACTCCTCCCTTATGCTAACTTTCTGCAGATGGTAAGTCAATATGGTTATTTATATAAGTAAGAATAGAGAGACAAAAGGAGAGACAACTCATACAAATGGCAGAAGAGTTACTAGTTCTAGTTCCCTACCTCTTCCTACTCATCATTTTCATTGCTAACCTTGGATCAACAGATCCCTAATTTTAACATAAGAAAAAAGAGGATATTCTTGATAACAACCCCAGAAATTCTAATTTGTTAGAAATAGAAACAAGGGAGTTCCGTCTTTAATAAGTACTCCATAGAGCACTAATTCAGATGCCCATCATTCTATGAAACGATGTTCTAGGAAAGTATCAAATTACCTGAAGGATACAGGCAAGATTTTGTCCAAATCTGATATTCTTTCCCAGAGAAGGGAAAAGATCACATGATATTCTGGCATATAGGCATTACAGAACTTACATGTGCAAGAAGGAATTCCTACATTTCTTGAGAATACATAATAGCCACTGAAGGCAAAGGTGTTTTGATAATGGTGTTTAACCTTTTTTTTTCTGCTTCAAAGCTCAGAGAAACAGAAGTTATTTTTAAGTGGTGCTTTTAAAAAACAATGGGCAGAAAAGTGGAGGTATTTTTAGTAAGCACATAAGATTTTCAATATGGTCATATACAGCAACTTAAACTCATGTTTTCATTTTCACTTGTATTTACCTCCGCGTTTTTTGAGACTTTCAGTTTTCATTTTACTTCTGCTTCTAAATTCAGGCCCTTTAAAATCATCTTTGTCTTCATTCAGCACTGGCTCTGGTTGTACAATCACTGTACCTAGAATGATTTCATTTAAAACACCATTACACATATTAAATGTGCAAGTGAAGTACAAGACTTCAGTTCAGATAAAGCTAACATTTCTGGTACATAGTTTTGTCTCTTTCAAGCTTCCAATACTGTGTAAGCACCTCTCAAGACTAAATAAAACAGGGAAGTAATTAAAAAGGGCCAGGTTTCAACAACTGAACTACTTTTTAGAATATATAATTCATAAAAGGGGGTATATTACGAACTGGTTGTAACAAATGTATACATAAAGTAGAAAGCCTCAACCCAGTTCTAAATTGTATAGTTCCTAGCAGTAAAGTTGTTTTTAATAACAGAATCCATCCTAAATTTCAAAAAGAGTTTAGAAATTAAAAAGACCAGAAAGGGAAAAAGTTTTAAAGATACCATATTGTTCTCATCATCCAAAGTGCAAACTCAGAAAGAAAGAGTTGTGTTATTGCTTTGAGGGAGTATGTTACAGGAAAGCAATGCAAGTTCTTTCAGCTATTACTACTATATCTATTCTGCAGCATTTCCCAACAAGTATGCCAAAACTTCAGTATTCTTCAAGGATGTTTTAATGTTTTAAAAATTAAACAAAAGACTATCTTAAAATACTTTAGCTCAAGTACTCAAATGAACTGTAGAACAAGATCAACTGCTGATCTATGAAAGTATTCAAAAAGAATGTACTTTCTTAGCTATAAAACATGTAAATTAAGGATAAAAGTTGATAATTTGAGATTATGATTTCACAAGCAAATAAAACCAACATACAAAATGTGTCCAAGTCTCAAGTTTATCTACATTGCTGGACTTAATAAAGGCATTATTGACAACAATTAATAAAGCAAAATCCAGTAGATGTCAGAGGCTATCTTGAAGTAGTACAAGCCTATGCAATTCAGCAAGCCAATTTTGACAAGGTATAATATAGGGTAAACAAATTTCTGAGTCTAAAAATAGGGTAAAAGAGGTCACAGAGAATAGAAATTTTACAAAATGCTTTACTTAAATAATCTTCACCCAAATGCTTTATTCACATCAATCATTTCACCCATGTACTCTCAAGGAAACACCAACAATTTAAAAGCTTTCACAATTTTTAAAAATCCAAAGATTTTTCTCTAAATGGAAGCATGACAGCAGAGGGCGAAGAGCACTCACTAGAGCTTTGGATTCAGGCAGTCTTAGCTTCTCAATTTAAAGCTGAAAAAGTTCACCAAGTTCTGAACTTGTTCCATCAAAAGGAAATCTGAACTACCTTATAACAATATAAAAATCTGACAATTAAATGAGTTAATTTCTAAAAGTATGATTATCTACTCAATACTAACAAAAACTACAATCATCCAAATTTAACCTTGGATGAAAGGTCTATTTTTAATTTGAAGGGAGAGAACTACAATTTGTTCAAATTTAATATTATACTATACTTTCTTCTAAAGTATTATTTAAAAACTTTAGTCCCTACTTCTAGGCTCTCTCCATCTGAATCATAAAGTAACCCCAGGGATAACAACTGAGAAGATAACCAAAAAGAATCAACTGCTTTTGGAATTAAACACCCATGTTGGTTGTTTCTGCTCTTGGCCAACAAATAACTACGTAAAAATGTCACAGATGATTTGCAAAACCAAGTAAACACACTCATAAATTTTCCTTCTGTTTCCTCTTTCTCTTATTAGTTCCTATTCATCATTTCATTTATCACTTATTGTAGTTCCAAATCATTCCTAGTAATGTCTTATACTCTTATCCATCACTTTTACACAACTCAGAATCAAACAATGTGTCATAGGGCACAAATAATAGGCTCACACAGGACATTAACAATGTGTTATAGGGTCATATATCATCGGGTCAAACACACGATGTAGGCGAATACAAGGCCCTGGGTTAGTTCTCTGGCACAACTAAATTAAAAACTGTCATAAAAACTTCAGTACAAGGCCAGAGAGATAGTACAGAGAATAAGAAGAATGCCGTATGTGTGTCTGACCCCAGGCGAATCTATACATCACATGGTTTTCTGAGCACTGCTAGATGTGGTTCTGGAGGCCCCAAGAACCTTTAGGGTGACCTGGTTAATGATCCCTGTCATGACCCAGTCCTTTTAGCATCTCATCCTCAGACCCTTGCACAGAAACACCAGGTCTAAGAACCACTGGGTGGGGTCCATGGCCTCCTGAGCACCACATGAGAGGTCCAAATAAAAATATACCTAAGTACAGACATAAAAGAAAGTTTGGTGAACACTGTTGTATATTCAAATTGAAAACTCTTCTAAGACCTTAAGTCATATTAATCATATTAATAAAGAAAAAATCCAAATATTGGGTCTGAAACATTGGGGACTAACCAAATCTCTTCTAATCCTCTCACCTTATAATCAAACTGCTTGTTCTTGACCTGGGATATGTAAAACCCCCAAGCTTTTCATTTGGCTTTTTCCCGCTAATTAATAAAGTTTGTAACTACAACAGTTGAGAGGCTTCTAAAGAGATAATCACAAGAAATACAACTAAACATACCTTTGATATTTAACTGTATAAAAGTTATAGGGAATTTAAGGCTAACCCAACTTAAATTTTAAGTTTTCAAAAAACCCAATCACTATGATTTTCTATAAAGCATATTAAAATTGATTGAACAAAAACTTAATATGTTAACTTCTATACCAACTTCCACATTCCAATATAATATGAGACCTAAAATCTTTTCTAAAGCCAAATGGAGACAATAACTTTTGCTCTTATCCAAACCAACTAAATACTGTATATTTTAATCTCAGAGACATATTACTATAATTCTAATACATTTCCAGATATCACTATTATTGAAATGCCATTATCTTTACACACAGCTAATAATAATTGATTTCCAATTTCAAAATAATGACATCTAAAAATATACGTCAACATACACTTGATATGAAAAATTAGTGCACGTTACCTTTTGGCAAGCTTTGCATAGTAATATCATTTTCTGAATTTTCATTAGAAGCATCTTCATTTACAGTTTCATCCAAAGGTTTCTCATCATCAGATTCTACATACTTCGTTACTACAGAAGGTTTCCTATGAAAGAATTAAGTACATAAAATTATGGACATTTCTGATCATTGTATCAAATTATAAACAACATATTTAGATTGAATAGTGACTCAACAAGGGATACACATCAGAATCACCTCAAGGCCTGAGAGATAGTAAAGTGTGCCTTGCACATGCCAGACCTGGGTTCAATTCCATGTACTTGTTATGGTCCTCTGACAGGAGTGATTCCTGAGCAGAGTCAGGAATAAGTTCTGAGTACCACTGGGTATGCCAAAAAATAAAAATAAAATCAACAAAGAAAAAACAGAATCATCCAGGAAGTATACATCTCTATGGCATATTACTCAAGAAAGTGAATCAGTGGGTTTGAGTAGGATCAGGGCATGTGCATTCTGAAAAAGTCATTAGAGGGTTTGTTAAGGGATCTCCTACTTTAGGACCAGAGAGACAGCTCAAAGGATCAAGTACTTGCCTAGCATATGGCTGCAGCCATGAACCCAACACAAATCCTGACATGATGTACGGTCACCCAGCACCACAGGACGAGACCCCCGATCATAGAGCCAGGCACAGAGCCCTCTGAGAACCAGAAATCCCTTCCCACCAAGAAAAAGGAGTATGGATGATGTGGTTCAAGTTACAAAATACATGACTTGCCATGTATAGGGGCCTGGATTCAATCCCCAGAATTGCATCCCGCCCTTCTCCCCCAGGTGTGACACCTAGAACTTTAGGAAAAAAAACACTAGATTTAAAAACTTAAGCTAATAATGAACAGGCTGTGTTTATTAAGATATTCCCAATGGTTAAAAACAACACACGTTCAATAAAATAAACTGTAAACGTCTAATACTTCAAATAGAGTTCACAGTAATTACACACTACAGAATGTCTCAACATAGTTTCAAGTCCTGTATACAATTCACTTTCACTGCTTAAGAGAAAGGTTTTTATTTTTGTTTTTCCCCATTTTGAAAGGAGTACATAACCTAAAAAAATGATCCATAATTGCAAGGGCTACTAAAACATAATAAATCCTTCTCAAAAGATTCCATTAAAATTTCAAGTCAAAATTAATAATTGCTATATCCAAGTGATAGACACATGAGAATTCAACTATATCAAGCTGTATGATTTAAGATTAAAATCTGTAGAATTTACTTAGATGATGTTATGTTTGAAATTTAGAAAAAGACAAAAAAAAACAACCTGGAAAATAAAAACTTTTTTCCCAAAATCAACCAACCTCTTTGATCGTGATGATCCTGAAGATTTGGATTTTTCAGAAGAGCTAGCTCCCTAAATGTGAAAAAAATATAAAAATGAGTAAGAATACTCTAAGTGATACTGTCAAAGCAATACTCTACAATTAACTGTTTTCCAATAGCAAGATCTCCAACGTGAAATTCTGTTTATGACTAAATTATTTTTCTAGAATGAATTTAAAAGCTAATTCCCATGCACTATCATGTATCCTTGATTTAAGATTAATCTTCTTGGGGGCTGGATTGATACTGCAGCAGATAGTTTCGATTCCTGGCATACCATATGGTTTCCAAGCACCGCCAATGGTAATTCCTGAGTGTAGAGCTAGAAGTAGCCCCTAAGCATCACGGAGTGTGACCCAAAAAGCAAAAAAAAAAAAAAACCGAGATTAATTTTGTTTTCTTCTAAATTGTTATAGAAGGCTTTGTGGTAAATAGAAGAAAATGCGCTACTATATAATGATCCTGGCCCAAATCAATAAAGACAAAACAAAGGTGTAGAAGTAAACATATTCCTTAAGGAACTAAAACTGTGTCCTTAGGGTCAGAAAGATAGCTCAATAGGCTGAGAGCATAAAGAACAAGCGCCACATGTACAAGACCCAGGTTCAATGTCTGGCAACCCTAAGAAAGTAGTAGGTCCCAGGCAACACTGAGTGTGGCCCCAAAACCAATCATAATAATGAAAATAATAATTTTTAATGTACCATTTTCTCTATCCTAGCAAACGGCACCAAGTTTCTCCTGCAACTTGCTTTTAGAGACCAAATTTTCCCTCATTTTAGATTAAAAATTTTGTACTACATGGGGACCAGGAGAGAGTACAGGAATTGAGTCATTTATCTTGCATGTGGCCAATCTGAGTTTGATGACTGGCACTGCATATTGTACCTCAAGCACCACCAGAAGTGAAAACAGAACAGTCAAGAGCAGCTCTGAGTACTGCTATACTGTTATACGTGACCCCAAACCAAATATAAATGAAAATAAATACTTTGTACATTACATTAGAGAATTTGTACAATACATTAGAGAATTCCCACCATAGTGGAGGCCTGGGAATCAGGTAGAATATACACTTTCGAGAGATTTCAGTGCTGTAAAGTCATGTTTAAAACAACTAACCACAAAGATCAGTGTTACAATAGAATATCTAAGTCCCTATCTGTTAATTAAAATTTCAGATATATAACTAAATAATACTACTGAATGAACCACAATATCAACAAAAACAATGAGAACCTTCTATGAATGGACAACTACCCAAGTTGTAATATCAGTAATTCTTAGGTATAAACTTGCAGATATAAACATATGCTTGTATTGAGTAAAACCAATCAAATGCATAAATCTCTTAATGCTTCAAATTATTCTTACCTCTTCTTTGCTGCTTTCCATCATATCCAAGTTAGTGCCAGAACCACTAATTTTATCTTAAAAGAGAAGAAATAAAAATATTTTACCTCTTCAATGCATTATCACATGGAACACAAATGCTGAAAATTTACTTTTTCAGGCTAATATGCAATTACTCATACTAAAATATTCTTAAATTTTTCATAACTAGATGCTGGAAAGACAGTACAGTGGATAGGGTGCTTGCCTTACACACCTAATCCAGGTTCAATCTCCAGCATCCCATGTGCTCCAAGCGCTACCAGGAGTAATTCCTGAGTCCAAGAATAACCACTGACCACCACAGGGTGTGCACTGACTCCCTCACCAAAAAGCTTTTTGTCTAGAATCACTCTCTTTTGATACATTAATCCATTTCACTTAAAAAGTATTAAATTTTGGGGAACCAGAGCATTAGTACAAAGGTAGGGTGTTTGCCTTGAATACTAGCTAGCCCAGGTTTGATTCAGGCATCTCATATGGTCACCTGATTCCTGAACTCAGAGCCAGAAGTAACCTCTCAGCATCACCAGATTTAACAAAAAAAATTAAATTTTGGACTGAGGAGGTAGCAAGAGGGTTAAGGTGCTTCCTTTGCAAAATACAAACTCCAGTTTTCACCCCTAAAACCACAGAAGTCCCACAAATACCATGTTTAGTAAGGCCTTAGCAAAGAGCCAAGAGTAATCCCTAAACACAATATAATGGGAACCAAAACAAAACAGCAGCATTCCTTTTTTATTTTATTTGGTCAGCATGGATTACAAAGTCATTTAACTGCATTTCAGCCATATAAAGTTCCAACACCAATCCCTTCTCAAGTGTCCACTTCCCTCCCACCCACAAGTCTACTCTATGGCAGGCACATTTAAAAATAACTTTGGCATTGTGGTTTATAGTATTGTTAGTGATAGGATTTCATGAGAAATATTTTATTCCCTCCTTTCAGCACCCCCTCCTCCTCCCAGTTGACCACTTCCCTCCACCACTGCTGTAGTGTTCTCTTCCCTGTCCAACTTCTCCCCATCCCCTCGCAAGAGAAGCCTAAATTTCTAAAGAGTACTTTTGTATCAAAACACCTATTGTAATCTTATAGCCATCCCCCCCACACACACCCACACACATAAACCCCTCCTAGATAGTGGAAGACAATCAGATCACCTGGATGCAAGTGGCAGCACAGGGAACTAAACTGACCTCACACTTTCCTGGATACCTTTTTTTTCTTTTTATTTAGGTACAGAGGTTTACAACTATGGCATCACAAGCGTAAACTTCCTACCACCAATGCCCCCACTTTTCCTCCAAGCTCCCAGTCAGCCTCCTGGACCAGCAAGTTTTTAAGTTTGGTTATTGTCATTCAGATCTCCTGCTTTCAGCTTTGTTGGTTCATGGTTCAGATACATAGTTACATAATGCCTCTTCATAACTAGTGTGCCTGGGGTCCCCTATTAGTCTCCACCAGCCTTTTCTTGCTTTCCCCCTTCACTTTCTTTCCTTCCCTAATCTTAGTTCTATAGTTCAGCTTCCAATCTAGATAACCCAACTTTGAAGCCAGTTTTCCTTTCTTCTTCTATTATTCTACAGACTACAGATAAGTGAGTTAATCTGGTATAGTAACTCTTGGCTTGTCCCTATGCAGGCAGACAAGGCCTTGCACGCCACCAACCTGGGTTCAATCCCTGGCACCCATATGGTGCCCCAAGCATTGCCGGGAGCAATTCCTAGTGCAGAGCCAGGAGTAAGCCCTGAACATAACTGGGTGTGATACCAAAACCAAAAATATCTCCTGTCCTTCCTCCCGTTGTTCATCGATTTTTGATTTGCTTGAGCGGGCACCCATAACATCTCACAAGAAATTGTGAGTCTTGTTGTTACTGTTTTTGGCATATCGAATACGTCACAGGTAGCTTGCCAGGATTTGCCGTGCGGGAAAGATACTCTCGGTAGCTTTCTGGGCTCTCCAAGGGGGGCGAAGGAATCAAACCTGAGTTGGCTACATGCAAGGAAAACGCCCTACCAGCTGTGCTATCGTTCCAGCCCCACAGTATACCTAATAAAGATTACGAAAACAAAAAGAGGGACCGGAGTGACAGTAAAGGTAGGGTGCTTGCCTGCACACGGCTGACCAGGTTTGATCATGGCATCATATATGGTCCCCCTGAGCCCTCCAGGAGTAATCCTTAAGTGCAAACCAGCAATTAAGCCCTGAGGACTGCTGGGTGTGACCACAAAAAATGATCAAAAGAGTTCATAAAGCATAACAATATAAAATGAACGTGATCAAAATTCAGAAGACACCAAAGAATATACAGATTGCAAATAATATGAAGAGATGCTATACACTATTGTATTAGAGAACTGTAAACTAAAAATCTGTACACCAAAACCAGTGTATGGACCCCAGCGGCCAAGGACACCCATTCCCCAGCCTGAACCCTGGCTCCCCACCAAAAGGCAAGTTCCGCTTCCCAGCATCCCATCAGGAATTGCCCTCCCCCACTAGTCATGACCCCCAAACGCGACGATCTAACTTATCAAACCAGGTGTGTGGACCCCCAATGTCGCACCCTGATACACCCTTCATGGCATACCTTTAAAATCTCTAACCCCATAAAGGCAGCTCAAAGAGAGAAGGGAGCACCAAATAAAGAGTGCTGGGAAGATCCGCCCTGGATGGGAGATGCATGCTGAAAGTAGACTATAGACCGAACATGATTGCCACTCAATGCCTCTCTTGCAAACCACAGCGCCCAAAAGGAGAGAGAGAACAAAAGGGAGTGCCCTGCCACAGAGGCAGGGTGGGATGGGGGGATGGGGGGTGGGAGGGATACTGGGATTGGTGGGGGTGGAGAATGGTGAAGGGGGTGGAGAATGGTGAAGGGATGGGTACTTGATCATTGTATAACTGAAATCCAAGCACAAAAATTTGTAAATCTACAACTGTACCTCATGGTGTTTCACTAATAAAAATTAAAAAATAATAAAAATAAAGAAAAAAACCTCTAACCCCATCAAAAAATGGGGAGAAGAGATGAACAGAAGCTTCCTCAAAAAAGAAATACCAATGGACAAAAGGCACATGAAAAAATGCTCCACATCGCTAATCATCAGAGAGATGCAAATCAAAACAACAATGAGATATCATCTCACACCACAGAGACTGGCACGCATTCAAAAGAACAAAAGCAACCAGTGCTGGCATGGATGTGGGGGGAAAAGGAACACTCTTTCACTATTGGTAGGAATGTCGACTGATCCAGCCTTTTTGGAAAACAATATGGGCATTCCTTCAAAAACTAGAAATTGAGCTTCCATATGACCCATAATACGACCTCTGGGAATATAACGAGGGTGCAAAAAAGCACAGTAGAAATGACATCTACACCTGTATATTCATTGCAGCCCTGTTCACAATAGCCAGAATCTGGAAACAACCCGAGTGCCTGAGAACAGACAATTGGTTAAAGAAACTTTGCTACATTTACACAATGGAATACTATGCAGCTATTAGGAGAGATGAAGTCATAAAATTTGCTTCTGAGTGGATAGTCATGGAGAGTATCATGCTAAGTGAAATGAGTCAGAAAGAGAGGGACAGAAATAGAATGACTGCACTCATTTGTGGAATATAAAATAACATAATATGAGACTGACACCAATACTGCCCCATACTTGTAACCCTGTCTCATGAGTTGGAAGAGAAGGCAGCTGGAATAGAGAAGGGATAACTAAGACAATGATGGTTGGAAGAATCATTTGAGATGGAAGATGTGTGCTGAAAATAGATATAAGACCAAACATGACAACCTCTCAGTATCTGTACTGCAAACCATAATGCCCCAAAGTAAAGAAGAGTATGGGGGAAATTGTCTGCCATAGAGGCAGGTGGAGGGGTTACATGGGGAGGGATACTGGGGACATTGGTGGTGGAGAATGTGCACTGGTGGAGGGATGGGTGTTAGATCATTCTATGAGTGGAACTCAAACATGACAGCTTTGTAACTGTATCTCACGGTGGTTCCAATTTTTTTTAAAAAAAGCCATGATCAAAAGACCACAAAATGTGTTCTTCTATCTATCCAGAATTTAATAAAATAAGTAAAATTTTAAAAAAAAATGAAAAACTCAGTAAAAGGCACAGTTACAGCTGCTTAGGACAGAGTCAGTGAGCTCCAAGATGATATGCAGAGAATCTTCAGACAACAGCAAAAAATGAAAAAGAGCCCAAAAATAAACCAAAAGGTATCAAGAGAAAATCAGCATGAAGGGACCGAGCAATAGTTCAACAGATAGGGCATTTGCCTTGCATGCAGCCAAACCAGGTTCGATTCCCACCATCCCATATGGTCCCCCAAGTACCACCAGGAGTAATTCCTGAGTGCAGAGCCACCCATGAGCACCTCTGGGTGTGTCCAAAAAAATCAAAATGAAGCTAAGAAGAATAACATAAGAATCACTGGAGTCCCAGAGAACCGGAGGAAAACCCTGATGAAGCAATTGTCAAAGACATCATTGCTGAGACATTCCCAGAGCTGAAGAGCACATGCACCCAGATTCAGGAGGCCTGAAATGTACCAGTTAAAAGAAATCAAAATAGAAATACTCCAAGACACAACCTAATCAGAATGACAAAAAACTATAATAGAGATAAAATTCTGTAAACAGCAAGATCAAAGAAAGAAATTAGTTATAAAGGTGCATCCTTAAGATTTACAGCAGATTTATTTAACAAAACTCTCTGGGTCCAAAGACAATGGGGAGATACAGTGAAAAAACTCAATGAAATGAGTTTTGCCTCACCAATAAAACACTCTACCCAGCTAGACTCTCATTCATACTTGAAGGAACAACACATAGCTTCAGAAACATGAGCTAAGGAATTTCATAGATTTAAAACCATGGCTGCAGGAAAAACTAAATGGGCTACTTTAAGACTAGAAAAGCCCTCCAAACACACAAAAATTACTATAGAAACATGGGCCAAAACCAACCCCTTAACAATAATCTCTCTCAAAACACACCAATTAAAAAGACA